GCAGTGGGACAGTGGCTCAGAAGCCCCTACCTCTGGGCCAAGAGCGGCAGGACTCAGTACCATGGTCTGGTGGTCCGGTGTCCTTTGCGTCATTGGAGTGTGGAACCAGGTGGCTGTACAGAGGAGCAGGGAGAGGGGTGTCCAGTGGATTGTTGCAGGGGTGTGGGCTGATTTGGAATGTTCTGTGGGACTTGCGACCTTGGTAGAGTGTCCCGAAGTATTCTTTTTTAAAATGTTGCATCACTAATGCTCCTGTTGGCACAATTCAGTACATTGTGGAACAATTCTAAGTGACAAAAGCCATTGTGTCAGTTTAGCAGTACTGCTCTCCGTCCTCGCCAAGGAGTCAAAAAATAAAGGATGTTTCTTATAACTCATAGTATCCCAAAATTGATAAAATACAGTATTTTCAAAGCAATACTCTAAGAGTCTTATTAAATGACCAGGGTCTACTGATATATCATATTCTCATTATCTGTTTATCTGTCTCTTATCTTTCCATCAATTATCTGAGGACATACCATAGTCTGTCACATATTAGGTGTGCAATTCATGTTAAGAAAATAACTGAAATGTTCATGCTTTTTCAGAAGAAAAACCATTCCTCTCTGATCTTAATTCTCAATTAGAGTATGTCCATTTGCAGAGCTGATCTTGAACTGAGAGTTCAAATATTACTGTGAAACACTGTTCATTGGGAAGATCCAATTTCTTTTTACTAGTAGTCCCCACTAGCATTTTTTTCTAATATTAGTGTGTTCAAAATTAAAGTTCCTTCTGTATGTATGATCTGATTACCTTGTCTGCATAGTTTTTTATATCTAATATTTTATGCTTATTACTTTTACATGTGTTTTGAGATTCTTAACATCACTGATTATTTTGATCTGAAAGAGAATAGTAGAGAGCTGAGGAAATGATTAAGACAGTCAAAAGAAACTCTTATTAGGTTACATAAGGAACACTAGGTTCATCTGATTTTTCTGTTCAGATGACACATCCAGATACCATAAGACAGGGGATTGCAATATAATTATTTTTAAACTGTGTTACCCTGTTTAATTGGTTTAAAGTAATTTAAAAGGACCCCAGTTGGTTCCTACAAATGAATCTAACTCATCAGTTCTTAATTCTGTTAGAGTAGCTCCATTTCAACAATTTAGGCTATTGTTCATGCTGGAGTTGTCATTCTTTCAGGAGCTTCCATATACTTTATTTTTGAGACAGGGTCTTGCTGGCCTTGAACTCACTGTGTAGCCCAGGCTGGCCTTGAACTCGCAGTGATCCTCCTGTCTCTGCCTCCCAAGTTGCTAGGATTACAGGCATGCACCACCACACCTGGCCTTACATATGCTTTTAATTTATTCCCTTTTAAGAGCACCTGGATACCATTCCTTTAAAAATAGCAGCAAAGTCAGGTGTGGTGGCACACATCTGTAATGCCAGCACACAGGAGGCTGAGGCAGGAGGACTGCCATGAGTTTAAGGGCAGCCTAGGCTACAGAGTTAGTTCAAGGCCAGCCTGGAATACATAGTGAGACCCTGTCTCAAGAAATAAACAATAACAAAAAAATACAAAAACCACAAAGAGAAAGTATTCTTCATATATCTCTTCAGACTAGTGCCCTCCCAGAAAAATCTTCCCTAAACCCTGGGACTGCAATAGCACAGGGTAGTACTAGTTTTCCCTCTAGCCTTGCAAGAATTCACTGTTTCTTCTGCTGTCTGATGAAATAGTTGGCTTGGATTTAGGGGTCATGTTTTAGAAAGAAATAAGCTTGAATATAACCAGAATTTTTTCTAGAATCACAGAAAGTGACTGAGAGACTAATTGTTCTCATCTTTTGCTTAACTACAGGGCCAAAGTTCACTGAGGAACAGTGGGAATCTCTACTATTATTTAGTTTTTATTTTTTTTGCCAAACATAGTTAAATTCAAGTAATTTAAACATATGTCACAAATTTATGTTAAATATATTGGTGATCACATTTACATTTCCAGCCCTCTCCTTTTATTGTGCAGAGTTTAGCCGTTTTTAAGAAATGAATCAACTCTAAGGGTATGTGACAAGCACTACTAGATGTTAGATATGCCTGTTATTCTTATATATTAAGAATGGAGTTACCAGTTTTATTTGTAAGATTCACCTAAAAAGTTTTAAAAAAACGAGATATCATGCTACTGAATTATTTTTCTCTGGGTATGGACACTTGGTTTCTCTTTTCCCCCCCCCAAAACTATGGGTAATGTTGATCTGTATCTCTCAGGTAAGAACCAGTTTTAAGCCATTATCAACCAGTAGCTAAATTGTTAACCAGAATCACTAAGAATAAACTTGACCTATTTGACAATTTGTCAAGGGACACTTGTCAATGTTTCCTGGTTTCTGAAGGCCTCTAAATTTGCTGCCTTTGTATATCCAGATTTTCCGGTGTGTCCTAGGGCCTTGCCTTCAAGCACTTTAGGATTCCTGAACCGGAAACCTCATCTTTGATCTCAGGTTGGTATCATAACCATGGGTTCTAGTTATATGGTCTAGGTTGACTCTCCAGACTTGGCTCTTTGTATCTTTGCATCTAATCATGTCTCCACTATACAACTCCACTTATGGACTTTAATGTGACAATTTGCCAGTATCACTCACTGAGTCACAGAAGAGCTGCTATGTTTCTATTGGAAAATGATATTAAATAAGTATTGTAAGTAAGGTCATTATTAATGTGTGCTAATGTATTTCAATACACTAGTTTGATGGACTACAAACATTGCTTTGTGCTTTGTTCTTAGTACCCTAACTGGAACCCTTCAATTTATAGGGAAACTTATTTTTTCTTAGCTTGGAATAAAGCTAAAGGTAGACCTAACCTATTCTTCTGGATCTTATACTATTCTTCATGCATCTGGTGCTTTATCTTAGCTGAACTTCACTGTTCCCCAGGAAGCCATTAGCAATGCCATCTGACTTTCTTCACATATCCCATGCCCAGGGTTTTTTCACCAGCTGCTTCTTCCTTTAACCATATCCAAATTTTATCTATCAAATCCTGGCTAATGTACAGGAAAATGAAATTACTATGATCCTAGAGAACATGTTTTCAGACAGGTAAGAGTCCACAGACTATAGATGAAAGCACTGACAAATGAAAGCTGCCCTGTATGAAAATTATCTGAATGACCACTTTGAAAGAAAATTCTGTTTATCTGTTAGTTTGTATATTGCCATAGAACTCAGATTCATCATATCTACAACCCCATTTGGAGAAACACTATTATAAAGCCCAAACACATTGACCTTGGAAAATTTTTTTGCATCATCCCAAAGCAACAATTTTTTCCCCTTATTTATTATCTAATCACTTTCTGCTTTACAGTGGGTAATAATGAACATGTAATATTTTCCTAGAAAACTATAAGTCCTTTGAAGGCAAGGACCACATTTTGTTTTTTAAATCACCATACCTAGACATAGCAGGTCTTCTGCAAACTGTCAGACTTGTAGCCTTTGCCATATTGTAGCCCAAATCAGTAAGATTTTGTAGTCTAAATCTCTTAAAAATATCACATGTTGTCTAGTCCACACTCACAGGACATGTTTCTGAAACAGCCCTAACATAAGTTAACAAAGTTTTAGACATTGTCCTAAATATCAGGAAAAGTCCAAGTCACAAAATGCAGATTTTTGAGTGCCACAAAGCATGCCCCTTCTGTGTTAATGTTAAGAGGTGCACTTTAAATGATCATTAGGCAAATATAAGAATTTCAGGGTAAAGAATAGAATCCAGATATGCAGGACTAGTGGGAGAGTCGCTACAAAGATCTAGCCTTTTAAGGGATGTAGGACCCTAATTCAACTTGTATGTAAGGCAGCGTCTCAGTTTTCCAACTACATCTATCCGAGAAAACGATTTCTGACTTGGAGGAACGGATTGATGACTTCAGTAAAACGACTGTAGTTTCCCTCATATAGTATTTGGAATGAGTTTGAAAGGACAGGGTTACAGGGGAACCCTCTCTGGGTCACTTGGGCAAGCCGAAGTCAGTTTTTTCACTTTAAAATAAGGGTAACTGATTACTTGCTGAAGTTCAACTTTTAAAACTGATACTCTACTGCCTTAACACGGCTAGCGGAAGGTATCTCTCTGGGTGGGAACGGTTATGTTTTCAGGCCACATGTGAGTTTACCCCTATAGTTCTGGGGTTGGATGAGGAAAAAGTGTTCCCTTTTGGTGGGTCCTCTCATGAGACTGGCCCCTGGCTTGCTATAGGGCCAGTCTCTGGCCGACCCCGGGGCAGGGAAGGCGCGCCCTCGAGGGAGAGGAGTGTGACTGGCGGAGATTAGTCCGGGCCATAAACAACCTCTCACTTCCCTTCCCCCGCAGCCCGCCCGCGCTGGGCCGGCCCTCCGAGGCCCAGGAACTTCCCCGGTGACCGCGGGGCACCCAGCCTTCCGCGGAAGGTCGACCGCGAGTCCGTCCCCGGCCCCTAATCGGGGGTTTGTTCACTCTACTCAGCCTTCCTCACTTGTCCAAGCTACAGCGACCTCGGGGAGGAGGCCAGGTCGACCTCCACTTCCCTTCCCCCGACCCCTATCACCTCCAACAGCTAAGGAAAGGCCGGCAGACCTGACGCGCAGGCTCACAGCCACAGCCGCCCTGCGCGCGCCGACGCAGCCCCCACACCCACTCCGCGCCCCTTCGGTGGGCGGTGCCCACCCCTTCCCGGAGCCCGCCTCCTCGTCTGCCGGCCCTCGCGCCCGGCCCTCGCGCCCGGCTCTCGCGCCCGGCTCTCGCGCGCGCCCGACGCCCCGCCTCCGCGCGTGCTCAATAACTGTCCTGGGAGAGGGCCTACAAGCTTCCCCCGCCCCTGAGCTGTTTGAATATGCTAATTAGAGGATAGAGAGTACCCAATAGATCAGAGGGGCTGTGCATCACGTGGTACGGGGACGTGTCAGGGGGTGGAGCCCCTGCAGCCCCTGCCCGAGTTAAAACCGGAGTGTGAGAGAGAAAAGCGCTTCAGTAGCGAGAGGGGCCGAGAAAGTGGTGATACCGCCGGGGTGCGGAGGGAGTCTCTGAAACTTCTCCCAACAGCCCCAGGGCCAATCTCCCCTCAGCCCACTCCCCTTTTCGCTAGCTCCCTGGTCCCCACTCCCTGCACCGGGGGTGGGGTGGGGAGCCAGGCCCGTCTCCCGCGGGGACACATATAGGGGCTGGGAGCGGGGACGGGACCCCCAGGCAGGGGGGACGGACCGACAGACAGACGGCCGGGCGTCCGCCCCAGCGGGCAGGCAGGCAGGAGGAGGCGGAGAGGGGGTTACGACGGGGAGGACTGGGTCTGGGGAGTTTCCTCTCAACTATCGGGGGAGAAACTCCCCGCAGCAGAGGAAAGACCCAGACGGTGTTTTCCTCCCGGGGACCACGCTTCCCCGCCCCGCGTAGCGGCGGTCGCCGCCACCCCACCGGTGCCTCCACTTCCACCATCTCCTTTTTCTCCACCACCTCGGGCCCCGGTGTCCCCGGCCAGCACTATGCCCATCTTACTGTTCCTGATAGACACGTCTGCCTCTATGAACCAGCGCAGCCATCTGGGCACCACCTACCTGGACACGGCCAAAGGCGCGGTAGAGACCTTCATGAAGGTACCGACAGACCGAGTCCGGGAGGCGACCCCGGCCCCAGCGGCCCGCGAGCGGCAGGGTGGGGGGAGGGAGGACGGCCGGGGGCGGCGGGGCGGGGGTGTCGGGGACCTGACTGCGGGCGCTGCCGGGCGCGGGGACCCCCTCCCCCACCGCGCGGGCGGGCGGGCGCTGTGAGAGGGGCTCGGCCGGGGCCCGGCTTGGGCCGCGGGCGGTGTGCGGGGAGCGATCTGTGTGTGTGGGGCGGCGTGGAGGGGCGGCCGCTGCGTGTGCGGTACTGTGGGGGCGGCGGGGCCACTGGGCGCCCCTTCTCCTGGTAACCTCGCCTCTGTGCTTCCCTCTCGCCCGCCCCGTTTCTCTTCTGTCCCGCAGCTCCGTGCCCGGGACCCTGCCAGCAGAGGGGACAGGTATATGCTGGTCACTTTCGAAGAGCCGCCCTATGCTATCAAGGTAACAGCCCTCGCCCTCCCCCTTCCCTTCCCTTCCCTGTTCCTTCGTCGCCCGCCCTCCCCCCTCACCCTTCATTATGCTCCCCTCCCCCACGGCCGTGCTCCCGGCGCCGAGGTCTCTTCCCCTGTGGGCTTCCGCCCCCACCCTCGCTCGGGAGCGTCCTGGCGCGGTGCGGAGTCGCCTGGCCACCGCCGTCCCCTCCCGGGCCCCGCTCGGCCCGGCGGCGGCGGCGGCGGTGGCAGCGGCGGCGCTGCGATCAACATGGCCGACATTTCCCCTCCGCGGCGTGAGCGGCAGCAATGAACTGTGGGGGATATTTATTCAAGTTAGCCGGAATGACAGCCGGGCCCGACCGTGCGGAGCCTCGGTTTGCATTAAAGGGGAATCAGCCGGGCTGGCAAGGGGCCCGGTGGGGGCTGCGAGGCTTGACCATCTCCATCGTCTGTCCTAAGAGGGCCACCAGCCGGTGGGACAAGCTGTGGGTCAACTTCAGAAGTCCTCCTCCCATCTGCTTTCCACTAGTCCCTTCGCACCCCCAGTTTTTGGGTAATAAGTAGTAAATTTCTCAGAGAAGTTACAAAATGTTAAGCCCATTAACTACCAGAAGGTATAGAACAAGCGGGTTTATTCCTGGCCACCCTTGGAAGAGTTTTATTAGCAGAGACAATATTAACATAACCAAACTATTCTAACCAAAAGTGAAGTTAACCTGCCAACCCAAAGTGAAGCACTTGGTGAACAGATTATAAAGGCTGTCCGTGTGTACGTAGCTTTGAAAGATGGGAAAAATTTTTTTAAATTTTTCTTTTCAGGCCGGATGGAAGGAAAACCATGCAACGTTTATGAATGAACTGAAAAACCTTCAGGCAGAAGGACTTACGACTCTTGGCCAATCTCTAAGGACAGCTTTTGATTTATTAAATTTAAATAGATTAGTAACTGGCATAGACAACTATGGGCAGGTAGGTTGAATATTAAGGTGGAAAAAATAGTTGATTTTTTATTTTTTTGATTGAAAAACAGTCCAGTCCAAAATTAAATGACAGCAAATTCGAGTAAAAAACATTTCAGATTGAAATTAGTATACACGTAGTTCACAGGTGAAACTATGCAGTTTTGTGTCTCATTTTTTCCCCTTAAAATGCTTCTGTAGTCAGAATTAGACTCTTAAATTCTTTGCTATGAAGTTCATATGAATTTGATTTTCAGTTCCTGAAAGTTCACTGAAGACAAAAGGAAAAGTACCCTACTTCATATTCAGTTAGTTTGATACTCTACCTGTAGAACACCTGTGCTTACACTAGTTCATTAGTGGTCTTCGTTTCTATATTAGTAGAAAATGTTAGAAGAAATACTTTTGGCTGTTTCTTCAGGATTTGTGTGACTATTCTGAAAGGTAAGATTTTCATTGGAGTATAGTAATTGAGTACATTAAGATTTCCCCAGTTTTCATGCATACAGCATTTCGCAACTATTGCAGGAGGAATTCTGAATTAATTGGCGTGTCCAGAGTTTTCTTTTTAAACTTCAGACCCTTGGAACAAAAGTAATCTGAAGTATATAAAAGAACCTTTCTTTGTGTCCTTAACACCCTCACATCTCTGCTTTCATCTGTTTGAGGAAGAAGCAAGAGCTTTAAATCGTGTAGATTTACTAAGTAATGTGAGGTGGTCCATTATAATTTTTTTATACCTATCCTGAAAACAAAAAGATACTGAAGAGAATGTAATGCTGCACACAACAAAGGAATAGTAAACCCCAGGAATTAATTTTCTTTTTCATGTGTAGTGCTGGGGATTGAATCCAGGGCCTTTGCACTGACCTACATTCTATGTCTTACCTTTTTTGGTTTTTTTTGAGACAGTCTCACTGAATTGTCCAGGCTGACCACAAGACTTTTGATTTTCTTGCCTCACTCTCCCAGAGTGCTGGGATTATAGGCATGTTCTACCACTCCTGGTTTAGGAATTCCGTTCCTAAGTTATGGTGCAAGCACTATTACCATAATAATATATTTAGCTATAGTTTGTGTTCTTTTCTCGAGTTCCATAATGCATAGTTTCATATGTTTCAGGGAAATTCTTCCTGTGAATACAACTTTTATTTGTTTTATATAGGAGGAAATGGAAGTGTTTCTTTGGTTTTAGAAGTTGTATATTTTACTTTAGGATAACTCTTTGGAACCTTTAGTTCTGTAGCATTTAAAATCACATTGCAATCTAAGATGACTTCTTTGCGTTTCATTTCCATCATTTAGTTAGGCAAGTTTGTATTTTCTCAGCACATTACCTTTTCTTTCTGGTGTTTTATGTTTTAACTCTTTGCAACTTGGTCTGTTTTTTGTAAAATAATCTTTCATATTCCTTTGTTATAAGTATAGTCTTTTATTGCTTGAGGTTTTGATCAAACTCTTGAGTTCAGAGAACATTTGAAGCTTGCCATTATTTACCTTATTTGGTCATCAGGTTGTCAGTATATAGCAGAAGTAATAACTTCCTGCTTTTTTTTTTTTTTGCATCACATTTCATAAATGGGAGCACCATTAGGACACATACATTGACCTCCTACTACATACTAAAATGTTTCTTAGCATCCTTCCTTAGAAAAACCACTTGTCATAGAGAGGCTGAGGATGTTTGTAATTTAAACCTGTATTTTCCTTCTTCTAGTTACCATCTTCAAACAGAACACTTTACTTCTTGTTTATAAATCTAAAAAAAATATTTGAGATTGAAGGTGGTCCTACTTTGCTGACCACTTTGACCAGGAAAAAAGCTTGGAAATTGGGACATTTTTGCACGTAAGGGTTTATTGGTTAAACCAGAGGCAGAGATTTTGTTTTGATACATAAGCCAGCATGTAGGGGATCAATATGTCCTGGATTGGTACCTAAAAGTGAAACTTGCATTAAAATAATTTAAGAAACTACAATTTATGAGTGAAAGTGATTATTTGAGTAAATTGTTTAATAAAAGAATATCTTTTTAGCTTTTTCTTTCTGGTACTGGGGATCAAACTCAGGACCTTGTGCTTTTGAGGCAGAGGGAGTGGCCAAAGAAAATATCTTTCTGAAAAATTTTTTTCAACATAGAACTTTTTTTAAGTCTCAGATATTTAATATATCATTCTTGTGTTTTCTTTGTAAAAGTACTTTTAAGTCTGTTTCCTGTGGAATATTTTATTCTGTAACCTTAGTGTTTTTATGTAAGTACTTCATGCTCTGTACTAAGATCAGTGAAGCCCACAGCACTAAATACTTGTATATAGTCTCAGTAGTTGGAGGAAATGAAAATAGGTGACTTTAGATGGAAGAGATAGCATGTTTATTTTGCAGAGCATCTAAAAAACTAAGTTTCTGAATTAAGTACAATATCATGTGTTTATATTTGTGTATTTACATAATCCTTTATAGGCACATACATGATTTTTTCATAACTAATTGTAAGAGTTAATATCCATGTTGCACTTACTAATTTAGTTAGCATTCTTAATTCTTCGAGTATTCAGTAGGAAGCTTAGAATTTGTAGGACATCAGTAAAGTTAATATAGCTAGGAAAAAAAATAATGATTCTTAGTGAATGTTTTCCTCAAGCACTTTGGATATCTCACTAAAGATTTCTCTGCCTGTACCTGTAAAAGTTTTTATAAATATTTAATTTTTATAATCAGTAACATTTGCTGATAGTTTTAGTCAGGGCACAATGTGTAGCCTCTACTCTTTTTTTTGTTGTTTTTTATTTGTTTTTTTTAAATACATTTTATTTTATCCCATTCCCCCCTCAAGACCCCCTCCCTTCCCTAAGTACAAAAATTTTGTTTCAATTTTTTTCCTTCTATTTTCACTTTGTTTTCTTGTTACTTTCTTTTCTCCCTAGTTACTCTTTGTTTGTTTGATACCAGGGTTCAAACTAGGGAGTTTGCACTTTCCAGGCAGGTGCTGGAACCACTGAGCTAAATCCCCAGCCCTTCCCTAGTTACTCCTTATACCATCACCTAACTTTTTTTTTTTTTTTTTTGGTACTGAAGATCAAACTCAGGATCTTGCACTTTCAAGGCAGGCAGCGGCACCACTAAACTAAATCCCTGGCCCTAGCATCACCTTACTAATTGCTTATCATTGCAGGTCAATTCAATACTTTTTTTTCTACATATGTTCAACAGTTTCAAGCAGTACTGATGCTTCAACAGCCACTGAAAATCTGATCCAGCCCAAATATGTAAAATCAGGAAATACATAAAGTTTTAGATAATTATTAAAGTTTTTAGTATATGTGCTGCTGAAGCAAGCACCAGCTTATGTTTTGTTTGTTTGTTTTGTTTTGTGTTTTTTTGGTACCAGGGATCGAACTCCGGAACTTGCACTTTCGAGGCAGGTGCTGGAACCACTGAGCTAAATCCCTGGCCCAATTATTAAAGTTTTATATTTTGAATGTTAATCAATTTATTTTCATACTGTTGAAATTTCTGTTTTTCTATCAGTGTTTTCAACTTCTTTTTTGTTTTAATTAGGTTCCAGGTTGAATTATCTGCTAATTTATTTTTCCCCAGTACCAGGGATCAAACTCAGGACCTTATGCTTGCCAGGCAGGCACGGTGCCACTGAGCTATGTCCCTGGCTTATCTGCTAATTTAAATCTTACTCTGGCTTGCAAGTCATCATTTTTGTCACTGGCCTGACTCTACACTGCAACGCCTCAATATACTAGTACTGATTAGAGTGTTACATTAGATCATTAAGAATGGTACCTGATCTGCTGTGTGCTCTGGGTGGAGCCAATCCTTGGACAATACCTTAAAAGGAGATAAAATGGGTTTAATTTTTCTGAGAATTTAAAACACTATTCATTGAAAAATGATGGCTTTTGGGTAAGATCAAATTGAATGATTTAAAAAAAAAATTGAATGATCCTTACGGAGAATTTTACCTCCATTTATTCTTGAGCTTAAGGATCTACTTGTGAATTTTGCAAATAATCCAGGTAGAATTCTAATGTTAACTGCGTTTTTCTTTTTACTCAGGTAGTGCTCGTGTTTGTCGCCTGACATGGAGTTCACTAATGGAAGCAAAATTTTACCAAACGCTTCTGTTCGTGAACTGAATTGTTCACGAACAGAAGCATTTGTGAACTGAGATATTACTGTACAGACTGGTTTTAACATTAATGGATGAAGTATTGCCATTTGGAATTTAAGTTTCCCTTAGACTAGCAACAAAAAGTTTGGCATAATGTTATAGATATCTTTTCAAACTAAAGTACCTGAATATACTCCTGTGCTGAACATGAACTGGGAAGATAGTACTCAGTATTTTGTAAATTTAGTTTTAATTTTTTTCTTTTTTGAGACATAGTCTCACTATGTAATTCAAGTTGACCTTGATGTCTCAGCCTCTCATATCAATTTTTATTTTTTTTTGGTACCAGGGATCAAACTCGGGTCCTTGCGCTTGCGCAGCAGGCAGCGAAACCACTGAGCTAAATCCCCGGCCCTGTCTCAGCCTCCCAAATGCTGGGGTTGGATATGTGATACCACACTGGGCTAATTTTTCTTTTTTTTGTGTGGTGTTGGGGATCTGATTGATGGCTTCCCACATGCTAGACATGCTCTAACACTGTGACTTTCAAAATTTTAAATTTTGGTGGAAAACAAGACCATATACTGTCTTAACCATTTTAAAATGTGTAGTTCAGTAATGTTGAGATATATTCACACTATTGTGCAATCAATATCCAGAGCTTTATCATCCTATAAAATTGAAACTTCATTAAACAGTAACTCTGTTTTCCCTCCCTTCCCCAGCCAGTGAGGGTTATTCTACTTGTGTTTTTGTGAGTGTGTCTATTCTCCATACCTATAAGTGGACTCATATAGTACAGTTGGCCCTCCACATCTGCAGGTTCCACATCCAAGGATTCAACCAACCATGTATCAAAAGTGTTTGAAAAAATTGTCTATATTGAA